GCTCCCCCTTCAACAAATGGGGGCAGGGTTGAGAATGTGTTAGAAAGACACTCTGAGACCCAGATCTGATGCAAAACAAACAGAAATTTTAATTGAAAGACATCTTCACAGAAAGCTGCATTTGACAGTTGAGTGGCGATATGTTGGGACTGGCTCTTTGCTGGAAGAATTAGTTGCAGGGGGTGGACCCCAAAATATTTAAACCTGGTTGACAAAGTCAGCATAGTTTATTCTTTGGTTAGGGTATTTTAAGTCTTGAAATTGTTTGTCTTTGAAAGAAAATAACGAGTGAGTAAGGGGAAGGGTTCGTCTCATCACATTGCAGACAGTTAAACAAAATGCTCAACTATGGGTTTAAGATTTACAGGTTAGCTCTGCGAGATGCCACATCTTGCTTCCAGTGTTTCCTGGCAGACTCAGGCAGCCTTCTACTGGGACCCAGCATAACCGCAGAGCATGAGCTTGCACAATGCAAAAACCCTAAAACCTTTATAATCCTATTTAAGGCAAAGATGAATTTGCCCATTTTTAAAGCAGACTTTAGCTTTCAAACTTAACTTTTATGCAGCATAAATTTATCTTCAGATATGTACATTCATGTAGGTAAATTCATGTATAAATGAATGCCTTATCCATTTTTGCAGTAGTAAATTTACCTTATTAAATTGAATGCCATTAACTTTTTAAAATTCATAAACCCAGGTTTTTCAGCCGGTGGAAAATTTTTTGTCTTTCTCGGTGCTACAGAGAGTTAAGCGTGTTACGTAAAGGCCAAACAATAGTAAATGGTCATTGTTCGTTTTGCAAGTATACTCTACAATAAGAACAGACATATTTTTATCTTAATTTTCCCTAGGGGGGTGATTAGGGCCCCATAAGTGTGAGGAAATGCTTATTTTTGTTGCTTTAGAAGAATGATTCTATTGTCTGAGTGAAAAAGAAAAAGGAACAAACAGGTCTAAAAAGAAAGAAACAGGAATGTGCTTTGCAATAAAAAGATTAGCATGAGCCACTAAATGTAAGTGCTATCTGGTCTTAATACTAAGTCACTCTACATAGTTCATCTGGCTGCACATGCAAGAGTTGGAGGCATGATTTATTTACAACTGGCCCATGAAATGATTTTCTTTTAAATTAACAACAAGAAGGTCAGCCACAGGCAGTTAGCTATTTTCTAGTTATCATTTTATATTTTTCACAGCTCTATTGTGAATGCTGCTAAACACAGTATAGGAAGCGTGTTTGTTTTTATGTTGACCCATTGAATGCATCTGCTTTCTGGGGAGTGAAAACCTGTGCCACTAGGACCAACAAGAATTAAGCAATGGTTAAGCTCATTAAAAAGACAAGCAAGCATTTCAACATATGTGCTCAGCCCTTTTCTGAATATTTTGTATAATTTTTGGAGAAAGAAGATTGAAGAAAAGGGGGTCATGCCTGTCTAGAATGCAGTTATCAGAAATACCATTTTCAGACTCCTCTTTCCAAGGAAATGAAGACTCATTTGTAGATTTAACCAACTGTGAGGAGATTGTGATCTAAAGGATTCACTGCGTTGTTGATGGAAATTTCAAAGCAAACTTGGACTTGGACTTATTTAAATATAGACTTTGTTAATAAGATTTACCAAGAGTGAAATTGCAAGTTGATATTCTAAAATTTCAAATGCTATTCCTAAAATGATGAAGTCATTTGATACTATACTGTTGATTCCTGATTTATAGAAAACTATTATAATGAGCTCTATATTTTAGTTTGTCATTGTTCACCATTTTGATATCTTAAGTTCGGAAGAGGCGATAATTGAGCGTGCGAATGTCAGGTTTTTATCTGGTAAATAATCTGGTTTGGATCAGGTATTTGTGTGGTAAATATGAAGATACTCGCAGTGAGTTTATTACTCGAAATGTGCTTCTAACCTAAAATCTCTTCCTTGAAGTTTTGTTTTAAAGTAATGTTTATTATGTATCCTGTGACAAAGTCTTAAACTGGAATCAGTGAAGGCAAGCTTGTCAGTAGCTGATTAGTCGTTTATATATTACTCATCCAACACTCGCAGACGTCCCTCGGAATAGAGAGGATCTCTTTATGATATTTAGCTATATGGCGGTGGAAAGGGGAGGTTTGAATTTTTGATTTTCCAGCTTATGGGTCATATTTGACCAACTGCTTTCACTAGAAGACATGCCACTTTGTTGAGCTATTTAGGAATCAAAAAGACTGTCTTAATTTAAAACAAGGACCCTTTGTTTTAGTTGGTGACTGCCTTGTGAAATTTTTCAGTTCTCAGCGGGTTAACCAGGGAACAGGGGCAGAGTCATAATTGGCCTATTTAGAGTATTTTGCATGTGAATAGTGTGTTAGTGAAGCATCCCTAAGTCTGTTGTGAGTGACATGGTGATTAGAATTTAGATTAGGGAAAACACATTCTGTACTTTATCAAGGACAGTAATTAGTTCAGTCAGTAAAAGTTGATTACAAGTAACGATAAAGTTAGATTTTTAGTACTTAATTTTAAAATTTCTTTATTAAATAGTAAATTTGTTCTTAATATAAATGGTAGTATCTACACTTGTTTTCTTGCATATCAGAATAATTAAAAGAACAATGTGTTCAATGCAGAATATAATCAGGCGATTTATATATTATGGGTAAGTTTATATGTAGCTTTTAGAAAATGTAATATTATTAGATAATCTTTCGTATGTCATCATTTTTGAAAGTTTAGTAATTTGCCACACCGTGATAAGTAATGATATTTGTCAAAGTTTTCTACTGTTCAGGTAAATGTTTAATCTGTGGGGATGTTTTTTAGCTTCTCACCGTCCTCAAGAGGGCATTCTAAAGTCCTTTAATTTGTTCCTGTTAGTTAGAATGCCTACTATTTCTATAATTTTGGAGGTTAATGTGAGGGTTTGAATTGCCTCCCGGTTCGGCTGGCGCTTGCTCTTCTATGGGTGCTGTGCAGGTTCGCGGAGGCCCCTGCTGTGCCGATGCTGAGGGGCCGGGTTCTGATGGAGCGTCTACGCTCACCCCCAATGTGAGCGGCCGGGGGAAGTTGTGTGCATTCAAAAAATCAGATTCTTCTTGCTTCTTGTTCAGAAAGGGCGTGAATAGTTCCCAGATCTGAGCCTAGGTCTAGATAAAGAAAACATTACTCTTCCATAAATGCCCTTTTCTTATAACATTAAAATGTCAGTCGTCTTAAAAGATTCAAATATTGTTGAAAGAGAATCACCTTCTACCTTCCTCTTAAAAGTAAAGAAGTAAAAATCCAGGAACTTTGTGCTAGCTTCCTAGACTCCTTTTCCTCTTCTTTTTGTTTTGTTGTGTTTTAATTGTTTCAGCTTAGCAGATGCTGTTTTCTTTATTACATTGGTTTAAGTACTAACAATCAGTTGGGGGGTAGTGAATGTAAAAACTAACCTTATATGTTTGTTTTCCCTTTTTAACCTTTTAGCAGAGTCTCCTTGGAGGTGACATGGATATGGGCAACCCAGGAACCCTTTCGCCTACCAAACCTGGTTCCCAGTATTATCAGTATTCTAGCAATAACCCCCGAAGGAGGCCTCTCCACAGTAGTGCCATGGGTAAGGTACTCCTCTGTTTGAATTCCTGAGTGATTATTAGTATAGTCTTTTTCTTTCTTTCTTTTTAATACCACCCTCTCACCCTACACTCCCCCATCCGCCCAAAATCATAAAATTTTGCTCCGTTGTCAGGCTGGTGACTCCCCCCTGTTGTACACTATGAGGGGATGTCAACAACTTGCAGTGGCAAGAGAACTATTTTGGTGTATGCTTATTTCTTGTTTTCTCTTGGCTGCCCATATAAGGCATCTTTTTAAAAATCAAAGCATTAAAAAGTTAGGTAGCTTCATTTTTATGAACAAGGCAGAATTTGATTTCTGCCAGAATAAAAGGTGGTAGTGGGACCGACATTTTTGCTAAGTTAACGATTTAAGAAAATCTGGTCTAATCTAAATGGCTTTGTGGTTGAATTCGTTTTAGTTAGGAAAATGGGCATGCAGGGAGCTCACAGCCTCTTCATTTTCTTTCAGAGGTACAGACAAAGAAAGTTCGAAAAGTTCCTCCAGGTTTGCCATCTTCAGTAAGTACTGCTTGTTTCTCCTTTGTATATTGTTTATTTTGTTCGGCTTTGTGTTGATGTGAAGGAGATAGGAGTGAATGAGGTTCCAGGCACCAGAACAGCACGTTTATCTAGAATGTGGATGAGGTAGGGATGACCTGCGCCTTCAGCCACCTGACCCACGTGGGAGTGATTAATTGCATATCCTGGGAGACTGGGTGGTTGTGCTGATATTCAGCAGGTTAAGCTCTGAAGAGAGCCTTGAAAAGGTGCCTGAAGTTGGAGGAGTTTTACCTGTACAGAGCTTTCAAGAGAATGAGTATTAGTTTCGTGTGTTGGTTAAATTCTTTGTCGGTATTATGATGATTTATGGATTTGCATGCGAAAGGAGATTTGTGGAGAGGATTTAGGAAAAATTTACATGGGTTTCAGCCCAGAGTGCAGGGAGAATGTCTCTATTTTCTAGAGAGGTTACTGAATAAAGCCTGCAAAGGTAGCTGCATCAGTAGCCATTTGTGTCTGGAATACCAGGTGACAGCTAGAAGAATCCAGCTGTAACCAAAAGCATTCTGGGTCTTTTTAATAGCTGACGCTATAAGCAGGAGTTGCTGAGGTCCTTCCAGTCTTCAACAAGGCAAAAGTTGGTTGTGATCGCAACTAAATAAATATCTTATTTTCAATTCTCATATATATTTTCAAATTTGAGTTCCTAGATAATTTTATTTAGTTTTGCTTAGAACTGGCTGGTTTCTAGTAATTTCCTCCTTATGTAAAATAAACATGAATTCCTCCCTTCTTTCCTTGTTTTCTCCTTTTTTCTGTTCTTCCTCCATTTGAGATATATATATATATATATATATATAGTTTTCATTTAATTTAATTCTGTGTTCTGTAGGGCACAAGTATTCTTTGAAAAGAATGCTGGTGAGCCTTATTAGAAGTTCTTATAACCTAAAATAAAATTATCTTTAGATTTCTGAAAATATATTACCAATCAATGCTTGCATATTATTTTTATTTCGTTTTTAATGAATTAGAAGAATAATAGGTTTTGCACACGTTCTAAGATTAGATTAGCCCAAACACCTGTGTATTTCACTTGATTTCAGTTCAGCTCATCCAAAAAATTATTAAGCAAATATATCAGAATAAGTCTTATCAGGAAAAAAACCCAAATTCTGTATGCTGATTCTCACAGACTTGGTAATGTTGAAGAACCGTCACAAAATTATCCATAAATATAGAAAAATAGTGTGTAAATACAACTGCCAATGGCGTATAAAATAGTCACTCTGGACTACCAATAAGTTACTTAAAAAGGTACTGAGTCGTTTACTCTTTGAATTGCTGTGTTGTATAGAAATCGACTAATATCCCCTGAGGTTTTTATAAGCATATTTAAAGCTTGAAGTTTGTGGTGGATTTAATGTAGATGAAACTTTAGCTTTTAATAGCTTTTATGACAACTTCAAATGATATAGTCCTCACAGCTGTTTACATTTTAAACATGCCTGAACCTAATACGGACAGTATTAAATACAATAAGTGGACCTTTGAATGTTCTGAAATGATAGAATAGCTCTGTGCTATAAAACCCATGCAAAGCTTAAAGCTATAGTACCCTATTTATGCCTCATATTCAAATAAACTTAGTTTGTTTTTTCCAGTGGTAAAATTATGCAGAAATCTGCACAATTTCTGAGGAGTGCTTTGGTGTGGCATTAGATATTTTATCTGTTTAATCATCGTCAACAACAATTTCTCAGGATTCATTGTAAATTTTTAAGTATTTCCCTAGATCTAACTGGCCACTATAGAAAATTTCACTGGTATAGTTTTTTCTTTGCTGTTAAGACAATTTATGTGTTGCTGATATGCTGTCATATGTTCAGAAATATGAAAGTGTCCTTTCTTCCCAATAAATCTAGAGTTGGAAATTTAGTTTTTATTATTTAATTTTTGGCTTTCAATGGTCAGTTTAGGGTTTACTCTTCTTAGAGAATTTATCTTGGCTAAATGTTTTAATGGGCCTTAAGGAACATTTTGGTAAACAGAGCCCCTCTTTTTGAAAGACAAGGAGGAAAATTCAGTTGAAATGGAAATTTTATCCTTGTTATATTTTTGACTTTGTTTTTTTGTTTTAAGCACGAAGAATAAGTTAGTTTGGTTGATTTTAGAATCCAATTATATATTTATTGTCCTTACTTTAAAAAAATCTCAGCTCTGTTTTAATAGCAATTTAACTTAGTTTATATTAGCTTCATTGTATGTATTGGAGTGCTTATTACTTATAACAAGATCCACATGCCTTAGCACCACACAAAATGTGTATTTTAATTTGATCTAAAGCGACAGTTTATATTAGACACTGTAACACTTTTGCCCCAGTAGATTTATATTTTTAGACCTCTGCCACACTCATTCATTTTTTCAGCTCAAATAAAATTATGACTATTTATCTGATAAGAGACACTTCTGAAACTTGCTTCAATATGTATGAATATTTTTGTAACAAATAAAAAGTTGAGGATAATATAAGGTTTCTTTGTGAGTGATTATGACGAGAGAAAGACATTGATATGTTTTCTTTGATACATATTTACCATGATAAATAGTAATAAATCTGTCACAGTCTGTTGTGTCAACTCACTTTTTTTTCTTTTCGGGATGCGGTCCTTAACCTAACACAAAGAAAATGTAAACTGTGACGTCTGTAATCAGATATTGTTTATGACACGACTGGGGTACCGAAGCTGGTCTTCTTTTGCCGCCATTAGGCTGGATCTTACAGGAAATCAGCAGAGCGAGGGGCTTGCCTGGCCCTGTTTTTGAAAATACGGCAGCATCTGTGGGAGGGAGAAAACATAAGCCTGGCCCAACATCATGCCATGGATCTGGCAGGATCCTTGAATGTGTTTGCTCTGTGTGCTGCAGCCAGAGACCTCAAGTCACTGCAGAAGAAAGACAGTGATAGGATGGTGGAAGAACCATCCTGCAGGGTCTACAGCACAGGCGCAGTGGAGAGAAGGAAGTCTGCCCCTCTGGAGAAGAGAGGCCTGTAGTTAGGGCTAAGGTGATTTTTTTTTTAAGGGAAAGGCTGTGTGAAATGCCAGCTATCGAATTGCCCACGAGAGCCCTGCTTAGTACAGCAGAACGTTTTCATGTTCTCTCTTCATATTTTAGTATGTTGCTCTTTCTGTCACATCCCAATTTCTTATAGCCCTCATCTTTTGATGAGCCTTCAGTAATAAAGCTTGGTCTTTCGTTGGTGCCAGAATTTATTTGGCCTATCTAATTTCTTGAATCTACTTCTCGTAGATTGTGAACTTCTTGTTTGCTCGATTTCTACATCTGGGTTTTCTTTTTTAAACCATGTAACATCTTATACCTAATATTTTTCAACTTTACTACTCTTTCCAGCAAATTTCTTATCTTTGTATAATGTAATAATCATACGTATTGAATCATGAATTCATGCAGAGAAATATATGCCACCTTAAGCCACATATTTGGGAAAAATGATCCACGATTCCTTGAAATTTACATGGAAGCATTGAAACCTGGAAAGCAAAAAAATTTCGTATTGCGCCATTTAAAACTATTTTTTCCTAGCACACAGAAAAAACATAAACAGAAAGACATTGTCTTTCGGAAACTTTATTGTGCCCACCAGTATGTACACACATAAAGCCTTAATCTTCTTATAATTTGGACTGTTTCAAAATGATGTACAGTTAACCAGAAACTATTAACAATTACAACCATCCTACTTCACACCTTGGTGGAATTTGTCTCCATTTCTAATCCGGTTTTGGAACTTTAGTGTGCTCTCACTGTCCCTTCCCAGTTGGAATCCCTGGAACTTCACAGTTGTCTGGAAATAAGTTTTATCCTAAGAAATAGTTTATGGCCTCTCTTATCACCAGTGATCTTTTTTTCAAACTGCACTTTTCAGTGAAGTCCTTTTTCTCTGTCAAACTGCAGCGTTTTGTTTGTTGTTTTTAAAATCAGGAGGATCTGGCAAGCTTTGTGTTAAGTGATCAAAGATAATTTTGGACACATGGATCCTAAGGGCAACAATCTCTACCATCATAAAGATTCTAAAATAAGATTTCGATCCTCCATTAGAATTTGAGGTATGAGTTAATCAGGTGGATTTGAAAAATAAAATCTCAGTTGTGTGTAATCCCAGATTTACCAGTTTTCTTAAGGACAGAATTCTTAAATAAAATCTGAAACTCTGGATGAGGCTTTCTTTTACAGATGAGATTATTAGGAATATGAAGAAAAAGTGGACAATGCTGATGGCATTAATTGTTCTGTGTACAAAAACCTTCATATTTGAAGGTTTCAAACATGATGTTGAGTTCATACCCTAAGATGCTTTTAGAAAAAAGGTTTTTTCTCAAATGCTTGAGCAAATCACAATTTAAAGGAGAAATTGGTAATGTTTTTTTCCTAATTAGAGGCCCAGAAATTATATATGATTGAAAAACTCAGTACTTAAAATACATTGCTTTCCCCCACCACTTTTGAAACTGACCATAAGGAAATCACAATAATGCTTTTTCATGTCAACAGAATGTTATCTTGAGTGTTATCTACAGCTTTCTTTAAAATAAAATTTATATTAATTTTAAAGTGAACTAAGTGTCAGCCACCTGGGCTCCATCCTGTGTAGGAAAGTCTAGAAGTAGCCAATTGTGTGATAAGATATAAAAGGAGGGGCCTCTTCAAGGCTCATTCCTGGAGAGGTAGATACTTTGTGAAAAAGTGTAACTGTAGGTGTTTACATTCAAGTATTAGGCTAGCTCTCAATAGTTGATTTAAATTTAGTCTGCTTGTTTCCCAATTAAAGCTATTGAAATATGAAGTTTGGATATTAACATTGTGCTTATTAGTTATGAAAATGTATAGGCTGGAAGAAAGCAAAGGATAATGCAATTAAATCATACTAAATTGGACAAAAGTATTATTCACACAATTACACAGAATATGTAATGTGGCACTAGGAACACCTTGAAAATTGAGAAAATATTAATCGCAAAGGAAGTATTTTTTTGTGTGTGCACTTAACACTGAATTTGCTAAACCAAAGGCTTCAGAAGTTCAGCGTATACGCTTTTTTTTGAAAACCAATCTTATCTTCTCCCTTGTACTTAGAGGCTAGGGAGGTTCTGCTTTTTATGAATGGCTGGTTATGAAACAAATATGGGAGAACCGCTATATTTAAGTTTTCATTGGGGGTTCTTATCCCATTAAATATATTTTCAAAAGCATACAAGATTCATAAATATACAAGGTATGTACCATTAGGCACACCAGTCTTTCCGGGGTTTGCAAAAAGATTTCTATATTTTTGTTTGGAATTTTGGAATAATGAGGCGCCTCTTCCACTATCCTCTCTTTCTTGAAACCCGATCCTGCCCCTTAAAAAGATGTCTTCTGGTGTGCATATTTTAAACATAAAGTGAAAGGAAATGTAAGGGAGAAGAAAAACACAAAAGTTAACTATGGGTGAAAGGCTTGTGTATTTGAGAGCTCTTCTGGAATTATCTTTACAAATGAAATGATATATGCCTCAAACACTCAAACAAAACACGACCACCTTGTTTTCCCTCCACGATAGACATACCTTTCTTCCCAGCCACCTTTGTCTGATTTTTCCACTCAGCAAGTGCTTCTAAGGTGGTGTGCATGATGTATCTCCCCTTTCCCCTGTGTGTGTTTTTATTTTTCACCAAGTTTTCAATATTTCAGCTGCAAAGATTTATCAGGACTTTTTTTTAAAGATTTCAACAACTGGAACAATAGCATCTAGTGTAAAACTGAACTCATTTGTTGAGAAAGGAGAAATACATTTCGGGGAACTGTGACGTTGACCCTTATTTTATCACTTTCACTGAAGTGTATATTTTGGTATGAAGGCTTGGACTCTGAGTGGTTTAATTATTAAGAAATCTAAGAAGCTGCTTCAAGGCTGCTTTACCTAAAGAGAATTGTTACAGGGCTTGTCTTTATTTGGAAATTGTAAAAACTTGTTTTGTAGCATCTGGCTGAACTGTGAATTTATTTTGTTTGTGGACTGACAGAGATGCTTGCCTTAATATTGGGTTGAATATCCTTTTTTTAAGTTTTAACATTTCGTCGATTGAAACGTTGGTTTTGTTTTCTAACATAGCGAAATTTTCTCATTTCCCGTCACTGACAATTTCTGTATTTTTCAACGTGTGTTTTCCTGGTTTCAGGCAAGTCTAAAGGTTTTGTTTGAAAGTTATAAGTCAAAGTCAGAACTTGGAGAAGTAAATAAGATTCGCCCAGAGTAGGTAGCAATAATCCTAAAAAGAATGAAGAGTCTCTTCAAAAATAGCAAAGTTTTCTATTTTCTTAAGGCAGATTAAATTCTGTCAGCCTCTTTGCAGACACTTGCTTTGTTTTGTTTTGTTTTTAAATAAATTGCACTGAATTTTTAAACTGAACATAAAGTTGCATTTCAAAGAGCAGCAGGCGATTCTCAGCCTTCATCTCCACTGTCCCAGGGCGTGTTTGTGTACGCCAGTGTGCTCATTTTAAAGGAATAAGAGCTCTTATAAAATGCGGTGCAAAATTTGGAGTTTTAAAGACTAATTATTTTATCTCAAAACAGCAGCGTGTGAGTGCTTCCGACTCGTTCTGTTGTTGGTTGCAGCTGTTGCATAGGTGCAGAGCTGTTTGGGGAGTTTCTGCTTTGCTTGAGGTTAATACTCCCTCTTCAGAGAGATGAAGGTAGTGCAGAAGACTCCGCGTTCTCTCAAATGTCAGGGTCGAAAATAAAGATGATTTAAGTCTCCGTGAGAAGTACAGATTTCAATTCTAAAAGAATGTGCCAATTAGATTTTGAAAAGAACCTTTTAAGAATTATATTTAAGTGCTTTAGCAACGCCCACTGTTGTCTCTCTTGTCTAACTTTGTCATCTGAGGAATTAATTAATCATAAATCTGCTATTAGGGTTGAAACTTGATATATAAGCGTTTACTTCTAGAGTAGCCAGAAGAGGATCTGTGTGTGTATTAAATTTCACTAAATTTATTTGGAATATTCAGGAGAACAGAAGAATAGGGACTTGCTTAGGGAGACCCCTTAGTAGCAAACTGTAAAGAAATTTTTTTGGTGTGTTGTTATATGTCAATTGTGTTTTCAACGATAGTGATTAAAAGGCATTTCCTTTGTGAAACATGGACTCATATTAGAAAGACATGTTTTCTCAGAAAAATGACCCTTGTGGTACATTCCTCACACACACATGCAAGAACTGTCACTGTCACCACTTGCTGTTACCATCTAGGGATTTTAGAAAAATGCTGTTTTGGAACAATTATTTTTATATCATCTGAGAAAGAGTGCCTAATAGTCAACGGCAGCCTCCTCCCTCCCAATCCATATCATTCTAAATATGCCTCCTGGATTATGCTTATAATAATATTGTAATGGCTTTCATTCTACCGATTGGCACGGTCTATCATTATATCATTAGCTGCTATGAGAAGACAGCTTCAAGTAGGTGGCTGATTCTTAGCGATAATGTTTTCAAGTAACTCTGTTTGGGGAATTCATTTGTTTCACAGGTGCTCAGGTGTATTAATCCAGGGTACAATAATATTTTCTGGCTTGCTCATTATGAAACAAACTTGAAATACAAAATAATTCAATAATAAGGGGAGTATAAAAACTGGGGCTTTATCATAAGAAAGTCTTAATAACTGGAGATGTTAGCAGATGAGATAAAAATAAAATTTGTCTGGGGATGCAGCAGCACTCATGTCTCATGACTGCTGAAGCTGAGATTTTAAAAGAATGTTTATGGCCTGGTGATTAAGACTTGTGGAATCAGTTTGAATTTTTTAAACCATTAAGCTAAGTAGAAAATACACCTATTTCTGTAACTGTTGTACTATTTGAAAGTGTTGTTATGTAATAAAAAGGCACAAATCCTGCCATTTAATACAAAGGCATATGCTTCATGAGTGGAGTTTTATCAGCAAAACCTATGGGTTCCTCATGTAGTGCCTCTATATGAATTTTAGGTGTAGACGAGACAGTGCCCCGTGTAATCTGTAGCTTAATGGGCAGTGCTGGGCAAAAGAAAATGCAATTATGCATATTTATTATGGGATCATATAGTTGGAATTCAAACCCCAATAAGTGGCTATTTGACAAACAATGCTATTTTCTTTTCCCGTTAATAAATTTCATCAACAGCCTAGCTGTTAAGTGGAGCCCTATAATAAACTGGGAGCACCGGGTGGGAAGGGGGAAAGGCATTTTCAGAAGGTTTCATTCATTCATTCATTTCTTTCTTCACTTGTACTTATTCAAAGCATATTGGTCAACTAAACTCAAACTAGATACACCATGTACCATTGAAGATTTCTTTCTCTTCAAGGTACCCTTTATTTATATCGTGAAGCTTCACAGTTAAGGTCCTTCCCATTTAGGGAAATCCTTGGTGTTGTGTCACTCACATCTCAATTTGTGGGAATGGTCTTGGTGTGTCAAAGAGCATAATGTCTCTCCTTTTGAGAAAGTTGTGCATTCAAGAAATAAAATAACGCACGCAGTGTAACACAGGGACTTTTTCTCCTTTTGGCTTATTATGGAGATGCTGAGTCCCTTACTCACTTGTAGCCACCTTGAAGAGGGTTAAGGGTCTTGTTTTACGTACATCTTTTTTGTCCCATAGAAACCAACCTCATTGTTTTAGGTGTATTACTTTGAAATATATTTCACTGAATGAATATAGTAGTAAAAGTGGCACAGTAGGCTAGCAATAACACTGCACTAGAAATAAAGAAATCTTCCTAATTTAGTGTCTAATATCCTCTACTTACTCACCCAGTGGTCTAGGTTAGGTCACAAACCTATTTCATGGTCTACTAAATAGGTTTAGACCCATTTCATAAGTGCCTGCTTAATGAGATGATGCTGGTACATTAACAACAAACCCTTAACGTAGTGCTTATTCTGTGCCAGGCACTGAGCACTTTGCCTCTGTTAAAAATCATTTAATCCTACAAAAATCCAGTGAGATGGGTACTTCTGTTTATTCACGGATAAAGAAATGGAGACACAGAGGGGTGAAGAAACATGGCCAAGATCACACAGCTAGTAAGTGGCAGAGCTGAGTTTGAGCCTGGGCGATCTGTCTCCAAGGTTTCTGTGTCCTTAACCATGAGGCTATTCAGAACACTTTGTGGCCCAGAAAGCTCTCTGCAACGTGGTGGTTGTTCCCTTCGCAAGTATTTGATGATCTGGAATAAGTGAAATATTCAGAAGTTTCATCTCCCTGTAGAATGACTGTCATTACCTCTAAGTGGTGCACTGGTTATAATGCACAACTTCTGCCCTGGCAGATCCGTTAGAAAGTCTAGACAATTCAGGACAACGTGTCTGTAACAGAGACAGTATGATCTAGTGGTTACAAGCATGGAATCTGATCAACTGGGTTTTTAGTTGCTGTGCCACTTACTAGCTACATGGCTTTGGGCCCATGCTATAATACCCTTGAGTTCTTCTCTGAAAAATGAAGAAATATACATACCTCCCAAGAATATTGTGATAAATAAATGACAATATAAATAATGTGCTTAGCATAGTCCTAATGCGTTGTAAATATCTAAGAAATGATAACAGCTTATGATAATAATGATAAGCACTGGCAATGTTAAAATCAGCTGCAAGATAACTTTCTTTTGGCACTTGAGAAAAACTTAACGGTGCAGCTTACTCAAGTAGTTAGCCACAGAGTAGAAACTAAGACCAGGGTCTCAGTTGCATGCAGAAGAATTCTATCTAGTGGAAGTCACTTGCTTTTTCTGAAATTATGAAATATTGCAAGTGCTTTCTGTATCTCTTTGTCCTTACAGCAGTGTCTCTAACAGGCCAAGACACCTACTCAGCCTTTGTAATTGTTAACTTATCACTCGGCAAAGTTTGTGTTGAAAGTATGTACTCCATATTTTTTCTTTTGAAATGGGACATCAGGCCAAGATGACAGAGCTCCTCATAATATGATTCCCTCTGCCAATAATTTGTTTATGCCTAAATCAGCACTGCCTCTGCGTGATAAGGAGATACATGTCTCTTCTTTCCTAATCTATCAGTGTCATTCTATGATTGGTCAGAAGCGGGTCCTCTCGAGTGATGCACAAGTCCATCTTTGTGAAGTTGGCTCTGGTACCCTTGCAAAGAGAAGGTTAGGCCTGGGGTTTTTCCTTCATCTGGCAAGATGAAGATGTGTTGACTAGGTGAGCTTGTGTGGCAGTTTGTTTCTCTTATAAAGTCAAACAGTTCGATTTGTTTAGGACTGTTTAGGTAAATTTCTAACATTAAACAGGAATATTTATACAGGTGTTTTAAGGTGAAGTCAAAGAATTGCTGGATTCTGGCCTTTGCTACGTGGTAATGTGTTTTTTCTCAATGCCATCGCTGAATTCATAAAAGTAGTTTTGCTTGTCAGCTATGAGAAACTTAAAACAATTTTTTGTAAGGGCTGATGAGTTAACTCTGCATTTAAAGGAAAAAAACATCTGTCAAAGGGGTTAGGAGAGAGAGAGCATGGTCTCTACCTCCCACCACGAATGTCTTTTTCCAGCCAGTTGTCATTTACAGAAAAACCAGGGACCACGTTAGATTCCTTGGGAAAGGTCCTCGTTGGCTGGACCTCTTCCTTATGGCCCCGAGCAAAGACTGATGTTCGGTTCACAGAGACAGCATCTTTCCCTGGGAAGCCGGATAGATCCGATTGAGCCACCCCTCATTTGTAGTCATTGCCACCTTGTGGATTACAAAGGATATTGGTTTTCATCAAACTTCCATTTCAATTTGGCATTTTATGGCAAGTACACTTTGGCAGTGGATTGCTGTGTTCCTCACCAAACGGATCCTCGTTTGTTCGGTAACACCTCACTTCTCCACTCACAGTTCATTTATGATTCTGATGAGTGTTTTTTCAGGAAACACACATTTCACTTTTTGACCTAGGAGCATCTGTTAGAATTTTTTTTAATACTACTTTGGCATTCTGAAAGTGTTAATGTCTTTCATATCTGTTTAATGCTATTTAGGGATATTTATGATCACCTCTTGGTTACTCAGGGTAAAGTGTGTCGCAATTTTTTTTAAACAGACAGGAAAGCATTCACATGAGGAAACAGATTGCTTTAAACATGTGCTTCCTGTGACAGTAAAAAGAACAAATTAGATTTAACACTGTGTAATGAATGCATAAATGTGTACATTTAAGCTTTTAAAAGCTTTATGTTCAGTTCTGGTCACAACAAAAATTGAGTCACCTGTAAAAATGAAGGATGCCTCGGTTACTCTCAGATTCCTGAAATGCCCAGAAATTGAGATATTCACCTGGTTGACGCTTCATTGGAATCATAAAACACATGATATGTTAATGTTAGAGAGAATGACAGCGTTACAGGGCGCATTCAGAGGTTAAACCAGGTTAGAGTCTGATTCTGTGTATTTCGCAAAGAAATCCGGATGTGTTGGGGGACAGAAGGAGTGGATTCCACTACCATCTTCCTCCTTCTCTGAGGATCAATGAAAAAATCCATGCTCCTGAACCCCGAAGAGTCCCCTTTCATTCGTGAAAGAAAAATAAGAAAATCTGATGTTTATTTACTAGCGTATACTAAGATTTAATTACATAAGAAAAAAAGACTCCTTTTCTTATGTAATGCAGTTTGTGCTTATGTGTGCTGGCTGGCAGAGAGTGAATCGAATATGAGTTAATATTTCCAGCTAGATGCGAGTGTTGAATTGGAGGGCATGAATCCTCTCCCCAGAAGAGGCTCTCCTCGCCATTTCTGTCTGAGCCCTGCGGATGGTGTGTTTCCTTCCCCTGTGCTTTCAAAGCTAAGGATTTGTGGCACGCTCAACCATCTCTCTGGCCAAGGAAGGCCAGGACAGAGTCCCTCAGGGGAGGGCACATAGTTGAGGGACATCTGACTCTCTTCTATTGCATACTGAGGTACTAATATCAAAAGAGACTGCTTGTCGTTGCACGGTGGGGCAGTGCTTTTTTTGGCTGCCGTGGTCGAAATGAAATGGGCAAGCTGTAGTCCGCTTGGCATCAGAATGGGCTAAGGGAAGCTGGGAGATCAGAGTCAGACTGTGAATGCAAGTAACAGCCAATGGTTAACTTCCTTTTTGTGTGTCACTTGGCAGCGATGAGACTGATGGCGATTTTTTTTTAACGTGGGTGAGAGTTCAGTGCCCTGGGAAGAGCCGTAGACGCTGTTATTGTGCTTCCTCATACAGTTGACTTGTGTTGATTTCTTGAGGCCACTGCAGCTGTTCCAAGTGCCAGCTCCAGGAGCTGTATACATGGCCGTCGGACTTCGGATGAAAAAGGTAATCAGATGAGAGGTGATCCACACAAAATCTTGCTGCTGATCACTGGGAAGTCATAGGGAAATCAGACTTTCAGAAGGCAGTATGCCAAAGGATAATATATACACTTGAATGGATATTCCCTTGTATGCAGACATCCAAAAGATATTTTTAAATTATCACTGCTCCACCTCTCTCATCTCCCATCAAAGATTCAAATCAGTTTTGGTTTGTCTGGAAAATGCAGGGCTAAAATAACCAGATTGAATTCAAATGAAATTACCTTCTGCTATTTTGGGAGGTTGTTGCTCTTGGGTTAGTCGCATTATTTTCTTTGAAGATTCGTTTGGAAGAGAGTTTGGGAGAATTTCTAGCCTCCTTCAAGATTTTCCTCCCTTTTCTGTCTTTGCAAAGAGCTGTTCCCCAAAGGCGAAAGGAGCGAGTTGCCATCTTGAGGAGTGAATTGTATGTTTAGTGAACACCAAATGGTCTCAGAGTTACCCTAGAATTTTCAATATATCTAATGGCTTTCATATACTATTTATTCCCCTAACCATTTGTGCGAGATATCAGTAAGATGACCAACTTCTGACAACCCTAAAAGCAGGGAAGGAAGCTTAGAAATAGAATACCATTTGTCTGGTAATTAGAGTGTATCTCTTAAGAGTTCGAGAGAATTCTGATTAACCTTTCTGTTCCCACATTCTCACATAAAATTAGCACACCTTTTAAATTATTATCTAGTATTTAAACACATATTTTTGAGTGTTCTTAATGCAACAGGTTCTGGAGACACTAAAAGTGTGTTATAGGTTTCTAAAAAACTTCATTTTTCTTACATTTTAAATGTTCTGTTTGTGCAAAATTTCGAGAATCACCATAAGGGCTTCTTTGCATTTTTAATTTAGTAACTAACATATGAATAAATTTGCATATTAATTAGTTGCAGATTAAATCATGCATACATAATTGCCTCCTTACTGTGTTTAATGTTTGTCAAAATCTCCAGCCTGGTTTGATGGATGTCGTATGAAAGATTACAATTTGATGTACCCTTGGAAGTATTTACACCAATAATGCAAGATTCTTAATAGCAGAATTCTCTAGTTATATACAGTTACTAATAAACATGTAAGATAGGTACATGTCCCTTTGACTAAAATTTTTTCCTTTGCACCAAATCATTTACTATTCATAATCATTAATGCATCTCCTAATTATACAGCATATGTCTGTTAACCCTTTCATTGCCGGTCTTCAAGTGGTAGCTTCTTTCTTTTTCTTGCCCCCCTAAAGAGAGCAAATTATTTGATAGTGTTCTGAAATCACTGCATTGCCTTTTACTTATTTCTCTGCTAGTATATGGACACACCTCCTTTGCCATTTACTTTAACACGCAGCTGAGAATTATGTGGTCACTTTGCATTTTCCAGTTAAAGATCAAGAAATGACCCACGTATGCACACTGCAGCTAATGGGCTTTTGCCTCTCTTTAAGAATTCAGATATTTCAGATACTTCCTATTACATGGTAAAAATACTATGTGTATACATATATGTGATATATATAGACACATACTCTCTAGGAGGGTAACTGTAGGATAAGTAAAATTATTTAAATTGTATTTTATTCCATTTTGAATATTGTAATACATTTAATGTCTTATCATCAAGTATAGGATGAATGTGATTATTCTTTTGGTATTAGGACTGAGTTTTCTGTGGTAGAAACTGACTAGAGAATGGATGCTCTTGATTTGACATAGTTAAAAAAAAATACGTATGACGGTAAGTGTGTTCTTTTCAATTAATTCCTCAGGTATTTAATTTTTTTAAGTTGTATTTTACTCGTGTAAAGAGTAGACCAACTGGCTTTTTTTTTTTTTTTTTTTTACTATTTTGATGTCTAAGCTGCTTATCACACTGTATTACCCTGCATTAATGAGTATTCCTACTGTGCAAAATTCTATCAAAAATGATGGTGTGAATGTCATTTTTAATTGGAAGTTTATACAGTCAAATTTATAGTACACAACAAAAAATATGTACATAGTTCTGCTCCAAGCCTTTTTTAGGCTATTGATCTTTTTGGTTTAAGTATACGTTTTTTATCTATCTGACTTTAAATTTAGTTTGAGAGTCTGGACTAATAGCACTAAGTCTGTATTAATGCCATTTGGGGGGGAAGAGGGAAACTAAGGCACAGAGCAATTATAATGCCTTTTAATTATAAGAAGAACAAATATAGGAATTACCAAGAATCTATTTTGAGGGATCCCTTTTAAATGTGAAAACTTGCTGACCAATTTTTTGTGTTCCACAGAAGTCATAATATCTGATTTCTGTCTATTTTATTGTTGAATGCCTTGCATTTATATGTGTAGTAAAGAGACAAAGGTTAAAATGAGCCCAAAGCATAAAGAGCTGATTTCCTTTATTTGATTCCTACATAGGAGAAATATTACCTCCTGGTCGCCTACCTCAGGATTGTTTTTCTCTAATCACAAGCCACAATGAACTATTTATTGATTTAGCAAAACATTCTCTTTGCAGCATACAATATTGCATTAAATTATTTAGGAATGAGAAAAATTAAGTGAAAGCTGCAAAACTTATAAAAGGAACCAAACAGTCAGACCCGAAACGTCATATTTCTCCACAGCCATTGTGCCTAGGTAATTCAGGGCATATGGTATGTAAATGATGTTGGGAGATCCTTGCCAAATCTACACACGACGGGATAAATTAAGGACAGGTTTCCCTGGGTGTAAGTCCCACGATTATGGCCGGCACACTCTCTGCTCCGATGTGTTTGTTCTCTTCTTGTCTTTCAGCAAGAGCGTCACACAGCATTTAGTGGCCAAATCTGGTCCTCAGCCGGCTTCTAAGACGTTATTTTTAATTCCTAAGAATTGATTTGATAATTAAATTTAAAATATAGTACCAATTTGCCAAACCTTCCTTTTGCCCCCAGATTTGAAAAGTAACATCTGAATGATTCATCAGTATATATTTGGATGTTAACCCATTTAAATGGATGTCTTTGACAATGGAAATTGAGTGCCTCTTAGCCACCTTAGAAAGGTGTTGCTAAGTAGTGAGTTTTCTCTAGGTTAGGATTTAGATGTTTTCTAGAACATGGAGTGAATTATTTTGAACAGCTAATACTTTTAGTTCCAAGTGAGCCCAGTCATAATTTATGAATTCAACTTAATAACTCAAATTACTAGTATCAGTTATTTTATTTTTACATTATTATTTTGAAGTATATCTTCTCACTTCTAGACAAGTGAGGGCACTTTCCCCTTCTTGTATTTAAACCTTGTTTTAAGTAGCCAAGAGTTTATACTAGTTCCTTTTTTCTGAAAGGAATTTCTTTTCTACACTGGGTGTCTTAGCCTGTGGTTTTCAATACTTTAAAGTCCATTTTGATTTATCTTGGAACTGTGTAATTGGAGGTTTTGGTTAGAAATGATGGCAGATCCTTTTCTCCTATGATAATTCATGAGAATATACCTAAATAGTGCATTTACTACAAAGACTCAGTTATGAATACAAGACTTACACGTTATTAATAAAAGTTATTTCAGGGTATTTTAAAGTATGTGGAGTATGGTTTAGGATGTTTTGTTGTTTTCATTATTAAAAATAATGCTTTTACTAAATCAAGCTGTTATTTTTTTTTAAAGATAATGCTCTTTATATTCTGGTTTTATTTGAATTAGCAGTTCAGGCTTTGTGCCTACTATTACCATTTCGTTTATGAAACACAACAAGCTAGTTACTGGATGAAAAATGAAATTAGACTCAATCCTTGTCCATTGCTGTGTAAATTGGGTAAAATAAGGGGAAAAATATCCTTGAGATCAACATAAATCAATCCTACTGACGCAGATCCAGTTTAAAAGTCACGCAAGTGGTCTTGGTTCTGGAGGAGTTCATATAATTGTCAGGTAGCCCCTGGTTTGTAAACTCTGGCGAGGTTTTGAGCTGGTTATCCTGTGACCATCCCTTGGTTCATTGAAACTACTTTGCACATCTGTGCTCCCAACTCAACAAGAGGGAGCAGAAACGATATTCGCTGCAAAATAAAGCTCAGTCGGCCTTCCAACTTTACTGGGAACTTGCAGCCTTGAAAACAACAAAATAGATAATTAAAGTTGAGATTGCAGAGTCCAGATTAAATGTCTTACACAGTAGGGTGGCCTGGCCCCAGTGTACTTACACAGTGCAAGCATGGAGCATGTCAACATTGTAGCCGCTTACCAAGATTTTTAGTTTTAGATGTCAGTCATCAGACCATGTTTAAAATGAAGCACCTGTACTTTAGTCAAAGAAATTAAGGTATTTTGGGAGATATGGAGGTGAGTTGAGGGGTTTTTTATTTTTGCATATTTTTTTTGCCAGAGCCATAGATAATAAAACATCTCAAGTATTAAAACGGTCTGTTTTCATGCACTGTATGGTTCAAAATGACTTAGCAGCTTTAAAATTTTTTAGAAAGAAAAGGATATAAAGAGTGAGATAAATGAAATTTGCATCTCTACAGAAAACTCTGCATAGCAAATTTAAGATTCTGGCAATTTCCTTACAAACATCTGAAAATGGAATTTTAAAGGAAACCTGGACAAATCTTTAACTATTGCCTTGCTACCAGGTGTCTCTATGATGATATCAATAATTTAGGAAACTTTAATAAAAGGAAGAAACAACTAAAATGATGACGTATTTTAGCATATGCTTTCAGACAAAATTTCTTCTTAGTTGAGCATATTGAAAGTGTATTCACTGTTTGTGTGTACGTAGTAAATTTTAGGTAAACCTGACACATTAAGCTTGTTTCATAAAAAATATGACTTCTGGGTACCCAGATCTCAAGTATGTTTCAAACTAGTCTTTACAAAATGTTAGTGCCTTTCTCTTAGAATTCTCGTCAACAAAATTCCGTTCCTCAAGTATGTGTATCACAGAGGTAACTGTGTGTATAATTTTTATCATTGTCCAAAGGAACCTATAGCTCCC